TATACTGATTTCAGTAGTCTGGTGAACCTCCGTGTGCTCGGATTGATGGATGTCACCCTCACCCAGCCACGCATTCCGGATCAAAGCGAAGATCGCCGTGTCAGAACTTCAGGTTCATTAGCGGGACATCTACCATACGGCATGGCTGATACAATGGGTAGGAACGAGCACTTGTCAACAATTGATCTAGTCGTTCCAAGGTTCAACTCCTCGGATTCAGAGACGCTACTAGGCTTGTTTGACGGCCAGGCGCTGTCTAGTGGTGGCTCTAAGATCGCCAAGTACCTTCATGAGAATTTTGGGCACATTTTCACGATGGAACTGAAGGCCTTGAAAATACGCCAGCAAGAAGGGCCCACTGATGCGCTTAGGCGTGCCTTTCTCGCCCTCAATAAGGACCTCGTCACTGTAGCCATTGAGCATAGCGAGAAGAGACCGCTAGGATCGCATCGCGGTTCAGCAACTCAGGTAGTCCTAAGCAAGGAAGATCTCAATTCTGGAGGAGTCGCGACAGTTGCTTATCTCCAAGCCCAAGAGCTATACGTCGCCAACATTGGCGATGCACAAGCTATGCTTATCCAGTCCGACGGCACGCACAAGATCCTTACTCGGAAGCATGACCCCGCCGAGCCAAATGAGCGTCAACGAATACGAGATGCCGGTGGTTGGGTCTCTCGCCAGGGAAAGCTCAACGATCTGCTTGAAGTCTCTCGCGCTTTCGGCTATGTTGACTTGATGCCTGCTGTACAAGCAGCCCCCCACGTAACTCAGGTTTCCATCACCCCCCAGGATGAAACATTACTCATTGCAACAAAAGAATTATGGCAATATCTTACACCTGGCTTGATCGTTGATGTTACTCGGCCAGAACGAGGCGATCTGATGCGTGCTTCTCAGAAGCTCCGAGACCTCGCCATGGCCTATGGTTCGACTAACAAGGTCATGATCATGATGATCAGTGTCGCTGATCTGAAGCGGCGCCAGGAGCGATCAGCTCGTCTGCATAGGGGGCAGAGCATGTCGCTGTATCCCTCCGGTGTACCGGACGAGTTCCAGTATCCGATCAAGCGAGGCAGGAAAGCCAAGGGCGAGGTCCAAGACTCTACGCTACACAGGCTCGAGGCCGAGGTCCCTGCTCCCACCGATAAACCCTCTATCGTTTTCACCGACATCAAGAATTCTACCAACCTGTGGGAGATGTATCCGTCGGCCATGCGATCCGCCATCAAGCTCCACAACGAGGTTATGCGACGGCAACTTCGAAGAATCGGCGGATATGAAGTCAAGACTGAAGGCGATGCCTTTATGGTCTCCTTCCCTACCGCAACCGCAGCTCTGTTGTGGTGCTTCGCCGTTCAAACCCAACTGCTCGAGGTGCCTTGGCCTTCGGAAATACTCAACTCAGTCTCCTGCCAGGAAGTGTACGACAAGGATAACAACCTCATCTTCAGGGGCCTCTCCGTCAGAATGGGTATTCATTATGGTGAGCCAGTTGCCGAGATTGATCCTGTCACACGCCGCATGGACTATTTCGGTCCTATGGTGAACAAGGCGTCCCGTATCTCCTCGGTCGCCGACGGGGGTCAAATCACCGTCTCCGCCGATTTCATCTCGGAGATCCAGCGCTGCCTTGAGACATACCAAGAGAATGAGCGAAATGGGTCTATGGGCTCCGATGATGCCTTCGATGACGACCAGACCTCGCTAGCGATCAGAAAGGAACTGAAGTCTCTCAGCTCCCAGGGTTTTGAAGTCAAAGAAATGGGCGAGAAGAAACTGAAGGGTTTGGAGAACCCTGAGTATATTTACTCGCTCTATCCACACGTTCTTGCCGGCCGTATCGAGCATCACAACAGCCCTGTTACGACGACTGAGGATCCTGTGAAACCTGCCACACTCGAACCAGGCAGCGAACTCGGGTTCGATCCTGAGATAATCTGGTCTCTGTGGAAAGTTAGTCTACGCCTGGAGATGCTCTGCAGCTCCCTGGAAGAGATGTCCGGCAGGGGATTGCAACCGCCTGAGACGGAACTCCTGGAACGTATGAAGCAGCGCGGCGGGGAGGTCACCGAGCGGTTTCTATTCAACTTCATGGAGCACCAAGTGAGCCGAATAGAGGTAAGTCAAGCCATTTTATATATACTAGGAATACATACATTCGACTTGCACCCTGCTAACGCAACTTACAGACGTGCGTGTCCACCCTCGCGATGCGACATATCGCCATGGGCGGCGGCGCGATCAATCAGCTGGAAGATCTGCGCACGCCGATGACGGTCGTGCTCGATAACCTCGCGGTCCAGCTCGCCGAGCTCGAGAAGTACAAGGCCAGGTACGGCGCCCTGGACACGGAATCCGAGGGCGGGGAGTTCAGCGACGCCGAGTTGGAATAGGTGGAGCTTGCTTCACCACGTTCAACGGCTCGCGTTCAAGCAACCCTTTTACCTCGCACCACTCAGTATGCATCACTCAGTACGCATCACTCAGTATACTATATCAACCTATATCCAAAGTTCTCCAGATTCATAGCACAGCGCGCTGTGCTATGAATCGTTACCGCTCCTCATACTTTCGCTCTCCCATCCATTAATTCGACCCCAGGCTGGCAACAACGTCCTGTTATATATAACTACTACCTACTTTTATAATGTGCTACGACGAAGAAACATTTCTTAACGACTTCTGGGAGGCGACGCGTTTACTTTCTCTTTTCTCTTCTTCATTTCTTTTTCTTTTATCATTACTCCGGGGAGTGGTGGGGATCAATCAGGCAACTGGGGGCGTTCCTTGCGAGCGAGCAAATATCATCGGGGTTAAAAGGGGAAAAAAAAGAAAGCGCCTCTCCCAACCCCCAACCAAACAGCAGCCCCTTGCCAGCAGTAGAACTGAGCCCTTCATCTCATCGTCGTCGAATAACCTACATACCTAGCTTTTCATCATCACTACCATCATCGTCACGTTTCATTTTGAATATTCAATATCGACTACCGGGTTGGATCCAACCAACCAATCAGCTTCAACTCTTCGAACTCTCAAAACTCAAAAACTCACACTCGGTTGGTTTTTATACGGGGAGGGCATCGGGGTGTGTGTTTTTCTTACAAGGCATAATTAAATACAACTCGTGTATCACAAACAGATGATACATTACTTTGCAAGCAGCAGCAAGCAAGCAGCAAGAAGCAAATCCAGGCGTTTAGGGTTGGGTTGGTGGGTGGGTGGGAGCAGAGTTTACTTTACAAGGGTTGCTAGGCCAGGCCAGGCGAGAAGAGGCGAGGAAGAAAGCGCTGCCTGCCTCGTTCCTTTTTTTTTTTTTTTTGATTTTGTTGCTGTTGATGCCCGGCTTGCTTGCCGAGTTTGGATAAGATGGGATAGGATAGGCTGCTAGGCTTACTGCCTGGCTAGCTGGCTCACAGACAGCCGAAATCCTGGTTGTTATGATAGCCCGAGCCTGCCTAGGTAGATAGGTAGATTACTTAGTTCGCAAGCAAAGCAGCCAAAGCAAAGCAAAGCAAAGCAAGCAGAACAAGCAAACTCACCCGGTGGGTGGGAGGAGAGAGAGCAACGGATGGATCGGATGGATTGTTGTGTATTAACTAAACTAACGACTGCGGCGGCTTTGAAAAAATTCATCAATTACTTAAACTTAATTATCCAAATGTGTCCGTGGGTGTTTCTGTCTGTCTTAGGTGCTCGTGCTCGCGTGTTTGTGTTTGTGTTAAGGCGTGTGTGTGTGTGTGTGTGTGTGTGTGTGTGTGTCTTGGGGTGATGAACTGAGTGAGGGTTGAGGGAGGGAGCTTGAGGTTAGTTATGGTGGCTTGGGAGTCTGTAGAAGTGTGGTTTGTTGGTTTTGTAGTTGTCTTGGATGAGGTGTATGGTGTTGTGAGGCCTGGAGTCTTGTAGGGTGTAAGCTGCTCTGGTGAGTGTCTAAGTTTTTAATGTTTATAGGAGATAGAGGGCAGTATAGGATAACTACTATTAAGTAGGGAGTAGTACGCAAGGAATGAGTAACTGGTCAACTCGGCTACTGTATTATAGATAACCCCTCGCACTCACAACGAATGAGAGGGAATACAATGAATACGGGACATGGAGCGGCTTACTACTAAGTAGTGCGCAACGTACAGGCTCTCGAGTGATCCATCCTGTTTCCTCGGTCTACCAGTATCCCCCACCACTAACAAGTCTTACTCATGAGTAATTCGGTCGGACTCGTAGGACAATTAGAGACTTCTTGGCTGGGGCTAGGGGGTGGCATGTTTAGGTACACATATATGTATACATGGACGGGTGATACAAGATGAATTACAACACAATATATATATATATATATACCTGGACCTAAGCCCCTTTCAGATGGAATATGGAGTGCTATGTGCACAGAGGGTAGCTGGTGTGTCTACATATTATGTCTACATACCTTGCGTGAAAGGGGGAACGTACTACCTAGACGCTTTCGCAAAGGCGGGTATTAGATTATTTACATGTGAGCAGAGATGGTGACAAGATATCTATATTCGGGAACCTCAGCTTGCCCACGTAGAATTTAGTTGTGGGATAATATATCTGCAGCCTCCTATAGTAGTAGACCTGGCAGTTGTTCGGACTGGTGAAGGGGTTGATAGCATTATACCTGAAAGTTCGGGATGAAATACAGATACCTCTAGTAATCGATATCGTGACATTATTGTAAAGTTCGAATATATCAGCAGGTAAGAAGGATTTTCGAAGCCTCGAAGGAATAGCGACAGTCTTGAAACTAACTTGTTTACAGTCATCGGATCAGAAAGGCATCATGCGAAAACGGGTATGCTAGGTCAGAGATAATAAAATACTGAACAGAAGGGCTACTAGATCAGACACCAGTCATTACTTAACACCGCAGCGATTAAAGAGGGAGCTACCATAATTGGAAAAACATTCAAATTAAATATTTAAAAAAAAAAATCGAAACCCCGTTGTCGCTCGAACACAGCGCCGACAAAAAATTAATTCTCCTTTGCTACCACCGGGACTTGCACCCGGGTTTCTCCCTGGACCCTTTTTTTGCAAATGGGAGGAGAGTAGGTTAACTTCTACCTTATGGCAGCTGATTGTCTGTTGGATTTCCGGTCTGCTATTATTAATTATGAGGCATTGGTCGGCGGTACATATGTTTGTGCATACAAAGTGAATGGTAGGCAACAAAGGCAGGAACGTCGGCGTGAGGCAGAAGTAAAAGGATACAGAGGTACAAGAGGGGGAGAGAGCTAGACGCGTCACGTAGCGACCAGGATAGGACGCGTTTAGAGCTGAGGACGGGACACGTAGTCAGCTGAGACTCTCTTGCTAGATTAAGTTCTGTTCACATAGCTTGGGAGTCAATTGTCTCTACATAAACGTCTAAGGTCAGGGACCCATGTTTCTATATTGCGATTGCGGCTACCTGCTTGAGTGTCTATATTACTACATAGTAGATAGACTACTTAGGTATTAATCTGACTTGAACATATTGGTACGTACTAGCTTAGGTCATAGATACATGTAAGTAGTCAATGTTCTCGTAGAGCTAAGATAACTGTAGCCTATCATCTGGTACACTCTCACTCAACTATAGACACACATGCAGCAAGACTTCAACGTAACACAGGCTCAGCTACACGCCAACAAAGTATTTATTTTCCTATATACCAATCCCATTCATACCAGACATCACCAACGAAACCCAACAATTTATAAATAAGCAAAGCAACAATGAAACAAAAATTCCCCATTGATCTCTCTCTCTCTCTCTCTCTTCCCAAATAACAACAGTGCGGAAGTAGATAAGTAGTATGCAGATATATGTATGTAAATGGTAAAATGGCTTGCTTGCAAGAGGGGGTATATATCGACATATGATTGTGTGGCATCGCTCAAATCAGAAGAACATTGTATCATCATACCCCATCCATATCCATCACCCATTATCCATCCATAGATAGGGTGGCATTGGGCGCACAATATAAAAAAAGGGTAGGTTGTTGGAGGAGAGGGACGCGCCCAGCTCATCAATCATCCCACCCACTACACCGAACCGCCGGCCACCACCACCACCCATCCGATGCGGCCTTGCCACGTCAGACACACACACACACACCATCATGAACCACCATACATACACACACATAACACACAATATCACTCATAAAAAGAGACATACATATCCAATGCTTCATATCCAACGCTTCGTAGCCAACCGCATCAGCATCATACAGCACCACCCCCGCGCCATGCATCGCCGTCCGTGGTCGGAGATAGTGTTCTACAGCAGAAGCAGAAGCGGAAGCGATTGCAACCCCACCAGCCCAACGCTATGAAAGATATATATGCCAACCCGACCGACCCAAAAAGCATAAATGCAAGCGTGAAGACACGAACAATATTCGTTCACGCGAAAAAAAAAAAAAAGCCCGCTCGCTCACTCAAATTATCGCCAATGTTATGATCCGACAAAAGCCCCCTCCTCTTCCTCCTTGACTCGTGTGGGATGTCCCAGCCCAGCCTCCGATCGAGTATATAAATATCGAGATTACCGACCGCTAGCTTACACTCCGGTAAGTTTCCTCCACCAGCTGCTTCGCGGCGTTGTGTCCATGAAGACAGATTCGCGCGGCGTAGGCGGCTGCGTCTGGTACTGCGGCTGCACTCGGTCTCCGCTATGGTCGGAACCACCAACGTGGCGTTCGCGGCGCTCTCGCTCTTCTCGGCGAGCGCGACGGCGTCTGCGGTCGTCGTCCATCTCATCGTTCGCCTCCGCGTACTTTGAGTGGCGACGAGCGCGGCGTGCGGCACGGCGAGCATCCTCGTCATCCTCAATGTGTGCGTCGTTAGCGGGGCCGTCCACGGGTGGGGGCCCAGCGTCTGAGTGTTCCTTGACCCAGGAGCTAGTTCCGGAGTGGGGCCAAGCCGGCTTGCTTCGCCTGGGATCCTCGACGGTGTAGCGCGACATCCTCTCCTGGGGGTAGACGTAGTCGTCCGCCGGCATCGAGCGCCTTCGGTTGGACTTCTCCGCAGCATGTCTGGCCTCGCGTCTGCGACGGCGGTCCCTCTCATCCTCAGAAGCGTCGTAATGGCGTGAGCGATGTCGATCGTGGCGGGCAGCGCGTCGAGCTTCGGCTTCGGCTTCGTCAAAAGCCACAGTGGCAGCAGATTCCCTTTCGAGCTTGCGACGACTTCTCCGCTCGGCCTTCCCCGCTTGTATCGCCGCCATCTCCTCCGCGGCACGGCGCTCGGCCTCGCGTTCTCGCGCAGCTCTACGTTCAGCTCGTCGAGCCTCCCGTTCTTCTTGTCTACGAGCCTCGGCTTCCTCCTCCTCGCGCCTCCTGCGCCGTTCGCGTCTTGCTTCTTCTCTGGCGCGATGGGCTTCTTCGGCAGCCTTCTCTTCAGCCTTCCGAGCATGACGAGCGGCACGACGCGCTTCCCTCTCCTCATCTATACCATGGGAATCGACATGACCTCTGTCCCGCGAAGACCGTTTGGCCCGCTTGTCAGGCCTGCCTTCATCATCCGTTGTATAATATGTGCTCCGCCGGCGGGCTTCGGGGCGCAGTTCGGAGCGCGGGGTCGCGGACATGATCCCTCCAAAAATACCAGATAGCCCCTTCTTGGTACCCGTGTTCGATCTCCTCATAGGTGTCGCGTCGGTAGGACTATCGCCATCAACTGCGATGATGTCTTCTTCGGTCTTAACCTGTGTCCTAGTTAGCGTCGCGAAACCTTGCTTAGTAGCGCGCTTTCTTACCTTTGGTCGCTTGCGAGGCGATCTCTCAGGACCTGGCGCTATGTTGGCGGCATCACCCATGATGATGTCATCTTCTATGCGCACTCTTGAGCTCCTGTGACTGCGACCTTTGTCGACACCTAGGACCTTTGCGGCTTTCGAGGACATCTCGGGCGTTTCTTCGGGTGGTGGCGATACCATGCCATTGGTAATGTCAACTGATCGACGACGCGAACTCGATTTGCCCGAGCTTTGTCGCTTCTCGCGGGTTGACAACGAGCGCGTTAGAGGAGGCGTGCTTTGGAACAAGCTACTCATGCGCGGCTTGGGAGTTGACGCGACTTTCTTCTCAGATCGCTCTGCCCTGTCTGAAGCTGAGCCCTTGGAAGACGACTTCTCCTTGTCTTTCCTTGGCCGCTTCTCTTCAAGCCGAACCTTGGATTTCCTCTCTTCTTTGCGCGGTGAAGCGGACCACGTTCCCCATGATGCGCTTCCCTCGCGACTGATCTTTGGTCGCTCTCTCCTCGCTGGCTTGATCTCGGGAGGTGGTGTCGGTGGCGACGGGGGCGCGTCGTCAAAAGCCGGGGGAGGTTCGGGTGCTTCAGGTGGCGGAGGGGGAGGTGCCTCCTCCTTACCTTTGCTCTTCTTGCTACCCTTCTTCTTGCTCTTCTTCTCAACTGGCGATGCCATGTCAACGATCTCGATGATTTCGTCGTCTTCTTCGTCGGCTGGGAAGCTTCCGGGTAGAGGATCTTTATCCTTCCTAGACTTCTTACGAGATTCCTTCCGTGGTGCCACAACAACAGGCGCGGGTGGCGGTGGTGGTGGCGCTGGCAGGGGATCAATTAAATCGGCATCCTCTTCCTCTTCTTCATGCGCCGCCTCGAACTTTTTGAGTCTGTCAGCGAGCTTGCTTCCTTTAGTCTTCTTCGGCTTCATCCAATCATCTGTGAAGTTTTTAGAAGAAGATGGCGCTTCCTCGACTATGGCATCTTCGGATCCCTGTGATGACTCAGCAAATCTAATCTCGGTTGTTATCGACTACTAGGAGTTACTTACCTGTTCGGGAACTGAGTTTCTCGGCTTGGCATGCCAGAAGGAGAACGGGTCAGCATTGAATTGCGCCATGGGAGTTTGTACCTTGGGAGTTTGTGCCTTAGGAGTTTGCACCACGGGAGTTGAAGCCTTGGGAGACTGGAAGCCTGATAAGATGGCCTCCACTTGTTCCGGAGACAAATTGGCAAGATCATCGTCAACATCCTGATCCATGTCCTGATCTTCTTTCGGAGGTGTCTCATCCTTCTTAGAAGATGCAGCTTCTTTCGAAGATGTGGCTTCTCTCTTGGATGACTTATCCTTAGACTTAGACTTCTTGTCGTCGGACTTGGAGCTCTTCTTGGACTTCTTCTTGGCTGCAGCAGCTGCAGCAGCTTCGGCCTCTTCCCGTTCACGCTCCTCGGCCTCACGAACAGCTCGTTCAGCCTCCCGAGCGGCCTGTTCCTGAGCTTCTCGGTCAGCCTGTTCTTCGGCCTCCCGGGCAGCTTGCTCTTCAGCCTCCCTTTGTTCTTCAGCTTCTCGTTCAGCCTGTTCCTCAGCCTCAAGTGCGGCTAGATCAGAGTCAATTGTGTCCTGATCTTCGGCTTCTTGGGCAGCTGCTTCTTCAGCACGAGCTTTGACTCTCTCGGTAAGCTCTTCAAATCTCCTTTGATTTTTTGAGGATAGCTTCTTCTTCCTGCTCTTGGTCGTCAGTGTAGCAAGCTCATGTTCCTCGTCGGCGATCTTAGCCGCCAGCGCATCAGCGGCAGCTTTCTCTTCAGCCTCTCGGGCTTCGGCGGCAGCTCTTTCTTCAGCTTCCAACGCTTCGGCTGCGGCTTTTTCTTCAGCTTCTCGTGCAGCCTGCTCTTCAGCTTCCTTGGCCGCCTTCTCGTCAGCTCGACGATTGGCATTCGCAGTGAGCTCTTCAAGACGAGCCTTATCATTCTTAGAGAATTTCTTCTTCTGGGTCTTTTTCCTTGCTGTAAGTGTAGCGAGCTCATCCTCTTCGGCATCAATGATGGCTTGCAGCTCGGCTTCTGCAGCGGCCTTCTCGTCCTCTGTAGCCGCCTTGTCGTCTTCCTGGGTTGCTGACTCACCCCAAACATTCTCTTCCAGTTCTCGATCGGACACACTCATATCTAAAGCAGGCGGGGTAGGAGCTGGAGGCGGGGACTTCTTTTTCTTATCTTTCTTGAAGCCGAAACCCCAGTCAGAATCATCGGCCTTGCTGCCCTTATACTCCTCGACGGAGTCGGGCTGGACCCCGTTGAGGTGAGAGCTGTTTTCGATCTCAATAGGTACGTTCTTGCTTCC